AAAAAATTCTATGATGAATAAAAATCACAACTTTTTTACAAAATATCGTTTATTTCTTTTACATACTAAGTCTTAACAGAACAAACATGTCACTCCTCATTTTGTTGCTGATGGCCACAGTAATGAACTCTAACACTTAAGATCTGACTACTACATCCTCAGCAGGATTGCAAAGCGCGCTATACAAATAATTATGTTCATTGCTGGAGCGGATGCGTTCACGTGAGCAAGTCTGTAAACCAGAATGTTCATCAATAAACCCAACAAACAAATCATTGGTCTTGCTATAAATGTTCTTTTCGGAGTGGGCATGTCAATGGAGACTCGCCCGTAAACCAAACTGATCATTCAAAACCGAACAAACAGATCGTTGGTCTTGCTAACAAATGTTCTTTTCGGAATGGGCATGTCAATGGAGACTGGTCCGTAAACCAAACTGATCATTCAAAACCCAACTAATAGATCGTTGGTCTTATCGAAAACGCAACCCGCAGAACAGGCACGTCAACCACGGCTTGCCCTTGAACCAAACAATCTAAAAATTCTAAGGCATGCTTATTTTCAAGAAATATTGGCAACCTGGATATTAACCATACTACTTAAACGAGGTGAATTTTGGAGTGTCTATGGCAACAATATATTACTTACAAATCAAAACGATCACTACAAGTCCGACAAGCATGTCATTAACTTCGTTCTTAAAAATACAACGAGCAATACTTAGTAGTTGCGATACTTAGTATTTTTTAACAAAGAAAAGCACTGTTAACTGAACAAGACAATAATACCAAAATCCGAAGTCATAATAGCATCCCACATCAATACAGGGCAACAAATATAAGTCTGAAACAAAAAGATAAAACCATCCAGGTGTCAGAGCCAAATCCAAAATCTAAGCAAAAGGGGTAGCAACACGCTAGAAATCCGAAAAACAACAAAGCAAAAGTGAAACTAAACGGTCTTCTCGACCTCCATCCCATCCTGCCCTGCAGCCTCGTCCGTCGCATCTTCCGCGAGCACCTGCTCAGACGCCTCGACATCCTCCACGAACACCTGCTCGGACATCTCGGTGTCCACACGGACAGAAGGAACGGACCCGTCATCCTCAGGTGCATCTCCTGGGGCGGGGATAACCACCTCGGTAACCCGCTCCGCGGGCACAACAGGTGGCTCAACAATGACAGTAGCGGGTGCACCTAGTACAGGAGCCAACGACTCCATAGTGGCAGGACCTGACGCAGCCTTCTTAGCGCTAAGACCATATAACCCCGGAGTCTCGATGCTGGACCCCGAGAAGTTTTGTACGCCTAGTGACGCTGCAGCCAACTCCATACGCTCACCATCATCCATCCCAACCGGGAGGGCACGAAAAATCCTCCTAAGGTTTGCCACCTCGTCTGTAAGCATCTGATGGACTCCTTCCGACTCAGCCACCGCCGCGATAAGATCCTTCTCCTCGCTCTCGAGATCGGATGAGTCTCGCTCTGAACCTGTTGGACGAGCTGTAGGTTGCCCTCGGCCTGAGCAAGGTCGAAACTCCTCTCTCTCTAGCCTGCTCAACGACATCGAACTGCCTCTCAATACGAGTAAAGGTCTCCTGGAACTTGGTTGTCATCTCGCATATCGCCTTATGAACGACATGCTACACGTTCGCCTCTTGCTTTTGCAATGTCCTAAGCTTGGCAAAACAGTCTTCTAGCCTGTGAAAGCGATGAGTGTTGGAGGTAGTCAAATCCTCGTTGTCTTTCCGCACCCTGCCAAGTTGATCGCGGAGTAGCTTCACCTCGGACTCCAGGTCAGCAGATCGCTTCGTCGCCTCGCTCGTGTCACCTTTGTACTTCTCGGCATCTAGCTACGCGTCCTCGAGCTGACGCCTATTTGCCTTAGACTCCGCCTCGTAATCCAAAGTCATCTTGTTGAGGTGGGAGATGAACTACAAATGGCAAAGAAATGCAAGGGTAAAAATCCATAAGGGAAATGAAAGGACTTGTTCTAGTAATCGAGTAGGAAGAAGGGTGCGACATACTTGGACTCCATGACGAGCCATCTCGGTGTAACTTCCTTCGCCCTGGAGGGTATTGGGAGAAGGAAAACGAGTGCCGGGAAGAGTGATCTTGGAAAGCATTGAGGCAGCAGTCCAGTCAGTGTCAATAGCAGCCGTTTCACGATCACTAGAGGAACGTCTCGGCTGCTTTGGAGCCCTCTCATCGAAACGAGACTCTCTTCTGCTATCCGTTCCACGCTTGCGGCTCCCATCTCTGTGACTTGTCTCTTCATGACGAATCACTGAGGAGGTGGACGGGCGAATCGCCAGAGTTGACCCATATCGGTTCAGGGCTGCGCGAACCGAGTCTAAAGAACTAGAAGACTGGTCAGCGGTAGCGTCATCTGGAACCGGTGTAGCCGACTCGATGTGTGTCCTAGTCGCGGTGTCTGGCTCAACCTCGGTGTGCGTATCCACCTCTGCAAGCTGCTGCTCCTCGGTGTGCTGCACCGCCTCAGCAGTTTTCTTCTTTGCCAAGGCTATCTTGTCGCGAAGGGTAAGCCTGGTAGACTTGAATGCACTAAAATCGGTGTGATTCGAAGACGAAGATGAACCCAGAAGAGTGGAACCGGTGCGCCGAGCTCTAGCTCTCTCAACTCGGCGAAGCGAGAAGTGCTTCCTCCAATGACACCTCCGAGCAACGAAGGCTTCGTGAATTCTGTTCGTGTCCTTTGGAAACTTCAAAAAGCGCTTCGGAGCTGCAAAACATACAAAAAATACAAAGGCATTAGAAATCACCACCAAAAAGAGGCTAGATAACACAAGTCTAAAAATCTATGAACCTCTACCGCGAGTCCCCCACTCAGTCAAGATCTTATCAAGCTAGTTAGGACCAACAGAAGCCTCGTTTATCTTCACGAAGAAGAACTTCTCAAACCAAAAGTTATCTTTGCTAGGGAAGCCTTTGATGATCTAATAAAAGGCTTTGCCCGCCGCAAAGTAGTTGATCTTAGCTTTGCCACTAGTCTT